ACCGATCACCCAGTACTACTTTCGGATATTTATAAAATCTTTCTATTAAAATAAGTTTAAGGTTAGGAAGGAAACGCTCTTCAAATACTGGAAAATGCTTTAACAGTTAGTGGAATTGACAGATTTATTCCCTGAAAAGATTTATTTAATAGGAAGATATTATAAATTTCAACCTACAGTTGGGCTGCCGCACAGTCAATGAATACCAAATGTTTCCTTATAAGGAAACGGCTAATACTACCATTACCCTTAACAGGATCATTAAGTAATATGAATTAGCCCCTAAGCATGGGAAGCAGTATAAGACCAATTTAAGTGGATTAAATAATGGGATAAATTCACAATTCCAGGGAGGTTACCGTGTTCGACGAAAGACAGCAAATGATGGCTGGAGGGTATGACGGCTGAATCCTTGTGAGTATAACAACCAAGACGAGATTGCTTGTCCAAATAGCAAATCATGTAATGATGCTAATTCCTCGTTTAAAATCCTCCGAAGGCTACATTTGAAGTACAATTTATTCCCAGACACGCAAACAAGAGACAATGTAGTTTGTATTGCTGCCATATCTGGGCTGGTGCTGCCTCACCCACACTTGGCTGTCTAGATAGAATTCAACAACGTCTACACGGATATGGCTGATGAAGTGCTTCAGTACAGACGAAACCTTGCGAACCACTCGCTATTTCAAATGGTATGTGTTCCGACGAGTTACATTCTTTAATCCCACCGACCCTGGCATTTACCACACGGGACAAGCCATGCCAGGTGCATAAGTGTGATTAACCTCCATCCCCTTTTCAATTGTAAGAAAAATGTTTTATACGGACAGCTTCTTCCCAAGAACAAGTGGCTTATGGAATAGACTCCAGTCAGTATGTTTTTAAAATCACTACAATTTTGAACTGTTATATCTCCTGCATAACCCATGAAATTTACTTCTTGCTTTTTCTTACGCTTATACAGGACTACACAGAAACAGTCTACCTCGAGTGATTCTTGGGCGTTGTATTGAGCGAACATCTCTGCAAAAAGAATTATCACTACACACACACACATATAATAATATATATATATATATATATATATATATATATATATATATATATATAAATAAAATGACAATTGGAAAAAAAATCTTAGATTTTACCGACGCGTTTCGTCTTGATCTGGGAAATTAACTATATATATATATATATATATATATATATATATATATATATATATATATATATATATATATGGGTGTGTGTGTGTGTGTGTAAAATATTATATAAACAGATTACTTAACTTAATATGAAATTTTGTTGTTGAATTCCCCCGACTTCGAAGTTTCATGGCAATGACCATTCTTCAAGGGGTTCTGATTTAAAAAACAAAAAATGATATTAACGTTAATCTTTTTATATAATGTTATTAATGCTCTATTTTTGCTATTGAGCACTATATATAAAAATATATACGAAAAAATAAGTAAAAATTAATCCAAATGATTAAATAAATTAACAAATTAATAAATCGCTCCTGCTAAAATAACTGTTAGAACTAGTAAAAATAAACATGAATAAGCAAAAACAAATAAAAAATGAATCAATCCAAATATTAATAAACAAATTAAAAACTGTCCCTTGCCAAAATAGCAGAACAGTCTACGGCAATCAATCCAAAAATTGGAGGAATCTTCCCAAACCAAAACAAACTATTAAATAAGCGACCTAAACAAATCCCCATTTTTTTTACTATGTTATTAAAACAGCGAAAACCGAAAAGAAAAAAATAAATATACAAAATAAAAAATGACAATAAAAACAAGTAAAATAAATTAACCCAAATAAATAAATAGATATACAAACCACTTCCGGAAAAAATGAATTGTATACCTACAATGCACTACTGTCCCATATATATAAATAGTCGAGAAAAAATCCAACACTCGCTGCCTGACGATTGCGTTTAGCATGAAACACCGTGTCGTCTCTGTTCACTTAGACACAGACGCAGACATACACACAGACATATATATATATATATATATATATATATATATATATATATATATATATATTGTGTATTAACGCAGGATTTTTTCATTAATCCATTTTTCATGCAATTATATAGACAATATTTGTCTATTTATTTGAAGCAAATTCCGTTCATATCGTCCTATAAGATTAATAACATTATCATTGAGAGACGAAATAAAACAGACTATCACTGTTGCGAAGACCTTGTATTGTTTAATTTATTGTAATGTACTTGTCATCTCTGATGATGACATATGTACGTCGAAAGCTTAGATAGGATTAAAAAACATGTATCAATATGCTGATTTTCTTTCGTCTTTCAATGATAATGTTATTAAGCTTATCAGATATGAAAAGGAATTTACTTAAAATAGACAAAACACGTCTATGTTAATTAATGCAACATGCATCAATATATATATATATATATATATATATATATATATATATATATATAAATATATAAAAGTGAACATTGCAGTCAACACTCAGACATGTTGTTTCAAGCTGGACGCCTGACGATTGCCTCCAGCAGGAAACAGCCTGTCGCCTCTGTGTGTTGACTTTAATGTTCACTTTTATATTTACATACGCTCTATCTCTGATATTGAGCGCTTTACCCCATAAATATAGCACACATTAAAACTGTATTTTTCATATATATATATATATATATATATATATATATATAAATTATAATTACTATAATTATATGATTCCTTCGCTACATAAGCGTTCTCATGTTTCAAAAACGAAAGCCGAAACCCTCAATGCATTTATTAAAATTAAATTGAATTAAAGTATCAAACCCTATTTCATCCTCAAGCGAAAATTTAGGAATAACCAATCTTGAAATTTACGCATCTTTATAAGTACGTTCATTCATTACTATGGAAACGGCTGGGGCGACCATTTTTGATACGGGGCCTAAGAGTTAATTTTTATCCACATTATCAGTCACCTTTGGGAAGAGGTCAAGCTGAGGTAGGGTAGGGTGTCTATTTCAAAGCAAATGATTACATTCATGTACGCACATCGTCTGATCAGTCACAGAGAAAGATAGATTTTGGCCCCATGGTGTGTTGTTAAGTGTCTGGAAAATTTTGTTTTATTTTATTTTATTTATTTATTTTCCAAAGGGCTGTTTTATATATAAACGCGTCGCACTGAACTACAAATTTTTTGAAGAATTCATAAAGTGTTTTTCTATTTAATGATTGAGTTAAGCTGTTAAGCCATTTATTAAACTATGACATTTAATTTTTTTTATAAGCTAATTATTTAATGCGAAAATTTGTTGATGTCGGCAAAAAACCGTTAACTCATGTCTATTGTTTAATATATTTTCATTATTTAGAAACTTAATTATATGTAGTTTTTCATGTAGGCATAAAGGGCATAGGGTCATCCCAAGTTTTACAAGTTCTTGTTCTATTTATTATTTTCCATTTTACTTTTGGTGTTTTAATCATTTCTTTTAAATGCCAAAACTATTTGGATAGAGATGTCTGATTTCTATTTCTAATATTATTGAAGGAGCTTTTGTGTTGTCTCCATCTAATTTTAAATTCATTTTTCGTTGAATCAATGTATATCCTATCAGTGTTAGTACTCTCAATGGATGAGATAGTGCATTGATATACCACACATTTTGTGCGGCATTTATTTTCCAACGGGCAGTCTTCAGAGTTTCTACAATCACATAATTTTTCATTATTTTTGTCTAATTTTAGTTTAGGGTTTTTATTAATATTATTTTGGCATGCATGTTTTTCTAGGATTTTATTATTATGTTTTTTTTTATGACTCTTTCTAGATTTTCAGTGCAACTGTAACTTAATTTTAAGGTATTTTTATTATAGATCTTGCTAAGTCTGCTATTAGCAAGAAATTGTTTTTCAATTAAAGCTAGGAACTTATATCCTAGCTTAATACTAACCATTTGGTTGAAAGGAGGTGTATACCAAATGATTTTCCTTTTCCTGTTTTTTTTTTCTAGTTAGTACTATTGTTTCTATAATTTATGTTAGCGTTTTGTATCTGCTATTTTTCAGGGCTGTGTTATAAAAATTACTCTGTTGCTGGATTATTAGCGGAATTCATACTGATTCTTTTCCCTAGTGATGTGTGTATATGCTTAATTATAGATGGAGTGGTGTTTGACTTAGGGTGTACATACAAGGGATTAGTGTTAGGTTTTCTGTAAGGTAGGTATATGTTGTTCATTGACTGTAGTTTTTAAGTTTATTTTTCTGAATTTACTATATATTATCTTTCTAATTTTATCTATTTTAAAATTTGTGGAGCTCCTCACTACCGCGCACCGTGAATTAGACATTAAGGACATCGGGCTTTACAGAGATGACACAGTGGAATTTATTTTTTGACCTTTTGGACTTTATCGGATTAAATTAATGCTTGCACCGATGCGTATGAAGGAGAAGGGATGCTGAAATTTGAAATTTTAGATTTAGAATTAAAAAAATATATATATGTTTAAATAGATGGTATAACCGATTTCATTTTGTTTCTTTTTCTTTTTTCATAATTTTTTTCGGCTTTGTTTTTAAATACTCCATATTGTGATAAGAGAAGATCTGCCAAAAATGGTGAAACATTGTCAGATCTTGGGAGCAAAAATTATATATTGTTTTCCTATACACACGCGCGCGCACATACATACACACACAATATATATATATATATATATATATATATATATATATATGAAAACGATATATATGCCGATGTGCGTGCGTGTGCGTAACATTTTACATTATAAAAAGCAAATGCTTTCGTTTATTAGATATTAAATTACATCACTTAGATTCCTCCATAGTTGGCCGTAACTTTTAGTTAGCCAGATGTATAAAATAAAAATATTTTTTTACTTTTGTTTATAAATACTTTACTAAACAGAATCTTCACAATTTTCATTGCTATATTCCATCAGAGGACGAAATGCGTCTGCTAAGATAAGTTTTCATTTTGTCTTTATCTATCTATCTATCTATCTATCTATCTATCTATCTCTATCTATCTATCCCAATCACTCTCACCCTCCGTCTCTGTATATATATATATATATATATATATATATATATATATACAGGAAAATAATATATATATGCTATATGTCAGAACAATTTTAAGTAAAGCTATGACATTGTATTAATAGCTCGAGCCTCTAAATTTACGTCGACGTTTTTAATATATATATATATATATATATATATATATATATATATATATAGATATAGATAGATATATATATATGTGTATATATATATATATATATATATATATATATATATATATATATATATAATTCTATATTAAAACGTCGACGTAAATTTACTGCGGAGGCTCGAGCTATATATATATATATATATATATATATTTATGATATAAAGCACATAATCTGGTGTTGCTATCAAACCAGTGCTCGATGCAATATAGAAGAACTATTAAGTATATATCAATAAATATATATACTTCATCAGTTGCACCACTTGGAGTTTCATGGAAAATGCAATCTTGATAATATATATATTATTAATATATACATACATACATACATACATACATACATACATACATACATACATATATATATATATATATATATATATATATATATATATATATATATATATATATATATCAGAGAGAGATTTACGTTGTTAGATTCAGGTAAGGTCAGGGACAAAGAACGTTTCATGTTTATCTTTTTTTTCTTTTCACAGTCATTCTAGTTTCTGACTGATTGAACGTAGGTCATAAAGAAGTATATGCAAAATGTGGCCATGCATTCCTCTTTTGAGCGGGCTCTTTCATCCCTTTGTGTAGCCGTTTTTAATATTCAAGCCCTTAATGGTATGGCATCAAAAACCGTAATTATAGCGTTAGAGTGTTTTTTTTTTAAATTTCGGCATAATTGCCTTAAAAACGACATTTTAGGTCATTCTGGAATCCAAGCTTCAAGGATCATAACATATGTCTTTGTAAAATCAATCCATTATCCTATCACTTGTCTCTCCTTCTTTTTTCTTTCTTTTTTTTTTCTATATTTTGATATTTGATATTATAACAGATCTTTACGTTCTTTTTTCCGTATCAATCATTTTGCTTTCTCTATTATTGTTCAGATATCACTAGACTCAGGTTCCTTCCCCAAGGATCAATTGACACTAAGTCCTTTGTCTAGTCTCTACAGTATTCTTGCTAATTTCATTAATATTGTTATATGGGCTTACGGCCATAACACGTTGAAACACTGATTCCCATACAATCACCGAAGTAACGTTGAGCCTGTTCAGTACCTAGATGGGTGACCGTTTTGGAATAACAAGTGTTGTAAGCTTAGATATGCGGGTGGTGTAAATGATAACGACTCGTGATCAGAAATCAGAGGGGCGAGTTCGAATTCCGGTTCAGTTCGTTATATTTAGTTTCGCACAAAAACCTTTGGGAAAGGTATGGGTCCACCTAATCTCCCGCCATATATGGGTTAATAAGTGGAACATTTTCAGTAAATCATTATCATCACCCCCGTCAAAAAAAAAATTTTAATATTTACAAATATTTTCTGGTTTAAAATACCTGCAAAAAGCAGATAAACCTTAAAAACAAATAATTCAATCAGTCTTTTTACATGAATGGTTTGAAGACTTCCAACAATTTCCGCATTGATTTCATCTCTGGGAGAAAAAATGTATTTGCCTTTTCTAAGTGCTCTGATAATTAGTGGTGCAACTGTTTTTTATGATCGACAATTTATTCATTTGTTTTTCAAAATATTATGTATTTTTTTCATTGTCATGTAGATTTACTCTTGTTCGAACAACAATTATTAGTGAACTATAACATTGACTGTTTGACAACATATATGCTTTGTTTTATGACGACTACTAAGGCTGATTAACTGTCCGAGAATGATTGATCCATTTTGAATTTGAAAGTTTGCTATAATTTTATTACTTTTTTTACGCCAGAACAGTTTATGTTTGGTTTTTCCTACCACTGGAAAGACCAAATTCTATTAGTATTATGTTAATGCCTATCGAAATTTCCCACAAATAGTAATTGTTTACTATAACTAGATATCAAGTGACAGCAAGTTTTTCATGAGTCCAGCACTTCCCTCAGTATTCTGTTTTATTGAGTTTTAGTAATGCTGAATTCTAGTTCATCTATTATCCTTTTCATGAAATATAAGGGCGCCAATAAATTTATTATTTGTCTAGCTTGTTTTAGATTTTTTATGTTTTTTTTTATTTTTTTGCAGTTTTACCATGTATGCAACCTATACTATCTGACATATTTTTACTTTGATTTACGATGTCTAGATGTGGACTTTTGCTTAAACTATTTGAATTTGAGAATACCTTGAACTATTTGGTATACCGGTCTTATTCACATGTTGAAAAGTCTCCGGATGATTTATTTTTAATTGATTCAACCCTCGTTAACAAATTGCAATATAAAACTTGTCCTGAATGGCCACTCTTCTAGATCATTTTATACTAAAGTAGGTGTTTTCCAGGGATTTATCCTTGGGCTTACTTTGTTCTTGATTTTCATTAATGACCCTCCTGATGGCATCAGCTCTCAATATTGTATCTAAGACGAGGACACATCCATTTACTCCTGCTTCGTTAGTAATCTGACCAAATCGGTAAGGTCAAATTGCGGTTGATCTAAAAAATGACTTATAATCTGTTGTTAACTGAGACAAAGGATGACTTATTAATTTTAACGCCTCCCAAAATAAACAGGCCTATATTAATCATCAGAGAGTACCCTATTCCAACTTCAATCCATTAGGGAATCGTTCTCAGGCTAACATTCTCAGCTGACATGAAATGAAAAGACAATACTGAATTCATTGTTAGGTCTGCTGCTAAGAATATTGGTCCACTCCTGAATCTATCTTACGTATCTATAAGTCTAACATTCGTCCATGTTTTGAATATTGCTGCCACATATACTTCGATGCTCCTGGTATAGATTTGAAGATTTTGGGTAAAATCCAAAGACGTATCTGCAATATTATTGGTCCTGACCTGGCGTCTCGGTTACAGTCACTTTCCCACCGCCGTGAACTTGTTTTGCTGTGCCTTTTCTATAAACACTTTCATGGTAATTGTTCGGATGCTCTCTTCGCTATGGTACCTGGATTTATGAATTTAAGCGGTGTACTAGATTAACAACAGAGTCTCATCAATTTAAAATGGCATTGGTTTGACGTAACCGTAAGCTCTATGCTAACTGTTTGTTTTCTCGCACTTTTCGCTTCTTCCGGTTTCATGCATTAAGGCCAAATTTGATCTTCAAAAATTTAAATGCAATGTCAATCGTTATGCACTGTCATCATGATTAATCTTTTATTGTTCCCGTCCCTTCATAACGTTTTCTGTTTTTTTAATTCTTTCACACCTAATAACCCTTTGTGTCTTAGTGGCTTTACTACATTGTTTGGGGTGAATTCGATTAAAAAATAGTAAAATTATATACCTGTATATACAAGGGACTTGCATACAGTAAGTATTCAACCAGTATTAGCAGTACTATAAAATTGGTTATAGGATTCATTTAATACTAGAATTCATCTAATTCATTAAATTCATTTTGAATATTTCTGTTTTCATAATTTTGATTACAATCCATTTGTTATAATTTTTTTATAAATAATAATTATATATGTTTTACAGGTAAAGAGGAGTGTGTAAATGACGGGGAGAAATAGTTTGAACATTTGAAGGATTGATATATTTATTATTGTTGTAGCATACCTACGGACGATAATGGGTATTTCCCCATTCGCATAAATACAGTAGTAAATACTGTATGTTGGTGTAGAGTTGGAGATTCGTCACTAGCTGTGCTGGTCAAACTCTCTGCCTTCGGACAGAGAGGATCCCCAGACGAGACTATGTTGAATGGCAGAGTCTCCTCTCGGGAAACAGCTACTCGACCTCGTTTATACAGGGTGTAGAGGCAAATTTTGGCCGATCCTACAGGCTCGGATACCCCACATTAAATTCGGCCTTGTGCCACATATGACCCCGTGGGACAGTTGATAGATATCCTGCAGTCGGAGATTTGTCTCCAGCTGTTCTGGTCAAACTCTCTGCCACCGGACAGGGAGGATCGCCAGACGATGCTATGTCGAAGAGCAGAGTCTTGTCTCGGGAAACAGCTACCCGACCCCATTTTATACGGGTGTCTACGGTGAATCTTTGATCGAGCCTACGGGCTCGGATACCCCACATTAAATTCGGCCTTGTGCCACATCTGACCGCCTAGGGGGCTTGGTAGATATCCTAGAGTTGGAGATTTGTTGTGGAATTCACAGGACTCACTTCTAGTAGTTGACTACTTCTTCTACGCGCCACTGGCGAATCTTATATGTGTTGTTCTTGTCCTAAGTATTATCGTTCATTACCAACCTTCGTTTGATTATTCTATTCAGTAACTTTCCCTAGGTTACAACAATTATTGATATGTTATTACTGATATGGTTGTATAATCAATACAATACGTTTTATGAGCAGTATTTGTTTTCCATTACTGTATACCTACTTTGGCACCACCCCCGTAAGAGACACGGTTCAAGATGTGAGATATTTAAAGAGGATTCAAGATGAAGCAGTTACAGAAATTTAATTACCTGGCTAATTAAACAGTCAGCAAAAAAAAAAAAAAAAAGTGACATGGAAATGCGAAGAATAAGAACAGCAAAATATGCCTTCAAAAACTAAAATCAAGTTTTAAGAGATAGGAAACTAAGCGATGTATTGAGGTAGGAAAATATCGTAAGAAACAAAGAATAGTGAACTGTTATTATTTAATCTCCTATATGTCACAGATATCTGGACAATTTCTTGATCGTAGAAGAAGGAGGCTTGAACCGACAGAGATGCTGTTATATTAAGAAATGCTAGGAACAACATGGACACAATATGCGAGCAATGGGAAAACTTTAAGGCAAATAGAAACCAAAAAAAAAAAAACTCTGTAATAATAAGAATGATACAAAATAGTATCTTTAGAATCAAAGAAAATAATGCTCTGCTTCTATAGGATAACCGATCTCCTATCAAATAGAGAAGAAGCTTGAAGCAATAGTGATGTGGTTTAGCGATGAATTCTGAGATTATCATGGGCGACGAGGAAGCTTTAAGGAAAATTCGAACCAAAAAAAAACTACTGTAACAATTAGAAACAGACATCTTTTTAGCAACAAAGAAAAGAATTGCTGTGCTTCTATATGTTAAGTGATTTCTTATCAGACGAAGAAGAGGCTTGAATCAATAGAGCTATGGTGTACCGGCCAATTAAGAGAGAGAGAGAGAAAAAAAACATGGACTGAACATGGGAGCATGAAGAAACTTTAAGGGAAATAACAACCAAAAATCTGTTGAAACAAAGAAAAAAAAATGCGGTACTTCTCTCTGATCATTAATCTCTTCACATGTGACAGCGATATGGTTTAGCGACGAATGTTAAGAAAAGCATGGACTGAACATGTGAACAATGGGGAAGCTTTAATTTTTCTAGAAACAAAAATGTCAATGTAACAATGAAAAAAGATGCAAATAAAATATTATAAAAGAAAAAAGAATTCTGAGCTTCTATGTGATAACTTCTCTGCTAACCGACGAAAAAGAGGCTTGACGCAATAGAGATGTCGTTTAGCGACGAATTCTGAGAATAGCATGGACTAAACATGGGAACAATCAGGAAAATTTAAGGAAAATACCCCCCACCAGGAAAAAAATATAAAAAAACAACAGGATGATACAGTTAATATGTTTAGAAATAAAGAAAAAGAATTCCGAGCTTCTATGTAACCTTATAAGAGACAAAAAACAAAAAAAAAAATCTTTCAAGAGACAGATGTCGTTCTACTGACGAATTTTTAACAATAGTTTGAACAGAACATGCGATAAACGAAAAAACTTATAGGTAATCTGCAACTGCAACACAACTTATGCTTATAATCAGAAAGAGACAGTTGAAATGTCTGAATCGCGTAACAAGGAAAGAGGGTTTAGAGAGTTTAACACTCACAGAACATACTGAAGGCAAGAGAATCAGTGCAGATATCGATTAAATTGAATGGTAAAATAGCCTTAAGGACAGATGGTAAAGATTTAAAAGTTATTTAGTGCAACATAATGCAGAAAATGTTGAAGAACTGTGATCACGCACGTTCTGAAAGGATTTTTCTCGCACAAGAACAACGCGAATTCTGCGAAAGCAATAATTGTCCCACAGTGGTTGACGAGATATCTCACAAATTATTTATTGGCGATTAATTGGATAATTTGCATTGATTTTCTCGTAAGTTAATATT